CGGAAGGCTTGTAAATAAATCAACTATTTGCTGCATCGTTTTCGTTGTTTTTAACCAGACAGGTACCAATGTTTAAATATTCAGAGATTTTATTTATCATCAAACACTTGGATTCATTCCAACGGTTTGTCCTGGAGATGTGTTTGCAAAAGGAAAGACAAGAAGCAGCCGTCAGTTTTGGTGAACATTAACATATACTTCATTCCTTTGCAGATGCCATTTTGATAAATCTGATGTATGTACTCAGTACTAACTGAGCTGAGAAGTGGCTCTGCAGGTTTCAGATGATCTGATGTAACAGAGTTCAGTGAAAACACAAACAGGATGAGACGAGGAAGGATGTGAAGAAAGTGTGACGGTGTTTGATCGACTTCCTCTAGCCCCACACGCAAAGGCACTGTGAACACGCAAACACACTGTGATCACGTTTACACACTTTATTCCTCGTGACTAAACACACAAATACATTTACATTTACGTCAGCGTGACACTCAGATACAGGTTCATATATACGACCAGAAAACTATACACAGCATCAGAAAACATCTGGAGACTGAGGTCCTGTTAGCATGTGTTAGCACGAGCTAGCCTCTGTTAGCACAGATGGAGGTGGTAACAGGAACGGAGGCAAACAGCAAAATGAAGCGTGGATCACAGTCTTGGCTCAGTTTGATATGATCCTGTTCAAACCTGATGATGCAACACAGTAAACATGACAAAACAGAAGTCACATGACCAATCAGTCTCCAATTACAGCAGCTAAAAATTACACTTCATGTGCATGGAAAGAGCTTTACATTCACTGTACAGGCAAGTCCTGGAAAAGTCTGGAAAATGTCCTGGAAGATTCCATAGAGTTAAACATAAAAGTCCTGAAAAAATCCTGAAAAGATCTTTATGAAGTTCTGGAAAAGTGTTAAAGTCTTTGTCCCCTAAAAGTCCTGAAATCAGAAAAAGTCCCGCGAAAGTCTTGAAAAACTAGTTGAAGTCCTGAGAGAGTCCTGGAAAAATCTTGAAAAAACATTCTCAAAGAATCCTGAATACATGAAAAGACCTGAAACCGTGTCCTGATCAACGGTCAGATAAGCTTCACATAAATTCCTGTTCCAGGACTTCATGGTTACGTTTTGTTGACTGCTGACCTGAAAAAAACAAAAATGTATAAAACTGTATAAGTTGCTCTGAAAACAGCCCCAGCTCTACCATCTGGCCTTTATTTTGAGAAACTTCACTCTTCCGAGTGAAGCAGGAAGTGGAGGCGCTGCGTCTCTACAGCGACAGGCCCTGCGAGGTGTCGCTGTCCGACATCACCGAGGCTCTGGTGGAGCTCAGCGGGCTCCGGCTGCTCTTGCTTGGCTGGCTCTTGATGGCCAGCGGCCGGCAGCAGCGTAGCAGCTGCATCACGTCTTTGCGGAAGCGCACGCCCACAAAGACGTAGAGGAAGGGGTTGAGGCAGGCGTGCACGTAGGCCAGACTCTTCAGCACCTGGCCGGCCTTGTCGAAGGCCTTCACCTGCTCGCAGTCCGTAATGGTCATGTTGGTGGCCTGCATGGCCTCCATCACCAGCATGCCGTTGTAGGGCAGCTGCGACACGACGAACGCCACCACCACGGCCAGGATGACACGCATGGCCTTGTGCTTCTCGAAGTTACGGGTCTTGAGCAGCGTGGCGACGATGACGCTGTAGCAGAAGGCCATGACGATGAAGGGCAGGCAGAAGCCCACGCTCACCTGCAGCGAAAGCACCAAGATTTTGGTGCGGTTCCCCACCTCAGGTGAGAACACCATCCGGCAGTACTCCTGCGAGTCCACCCTGGCCGGGGCGGCGAACACGAGCTCAGGTGTGGTGAGCATCAGCGCCAGCAGCCACACCGCCGCACACACCAGCCGGCTGCAGCGGAGGCGCTCCACCTTGGAGTTGTGCGCCTTGGTGGTCTGCACGATGACGATGTAGCGGTCAACGCTGATGCAGGTGAGCAGCAGCATGCTGCTGAACAGGTTCACCTTGTAGAGGGCGGAGTTCAGCTTGCAGAGGACGGTACCGAAGATCCAGCTGTGTGACGCCTCGGCCGCCCACAGCGGCAGCGTGACCAGGAACAGAAGATCGGCCACCGCGAGGTTCAGCAGGTACATGTCTGTCATCGTCTTCAGCCGCCGCCGGAGGTGCAGGTAGATCCAAACCACAACCAGGTTCCCGAGTCCACCCACGATGGCGATCATCCAGAAGAGCGGTGGCTCGTAGCGACTCCTGAACTCCCGCACTGACGAGCGGTCGCACATCAGGTCGGGATAGTCGTACTCAGCATCCTCAGTGGTGGAGGCGCTGAAGAAGGAAGGGTCCTGACAGGGAGAGAAGATACACCTGAGCACACCTGGACACATACGGGCACACTTCTTCTGATAAATAATCTATTGTCATTATTTGTTACCTCTGTTGTCATTGCAGTTATGATGTCGTCTGTGGAGGTCATGATGTCATCCATGAAGTTGTTCAGTTATCTTAAAAACACAAACATAAACCAGTTCAGACCAGCAGGTGTGAATCAGACCGCTGCCTCCGTCCGTCCTCTGTGTTTGTGTAACTCAGACAGAAGTCGGCTTGTATGTTCCTCCTCCGTTCTGTTCAGAGGTAAATTACTTGTTGTTTAAACTAAGTTCTGTAAACCGTTTGGGCCGAGAGGTGTAGATGTTTTCAGACCTGAGAACTCTTCTGTTCTCTCTTTCAACACACGTCTTTCCTGTGAGGCCGTTTTAAGGGTTCAATATCTCCAGAAATAAAACTCCAACACCATGAATTTTGTGGAGGACTCAGAACAGGTTTCAGAGGACTGAATGGATCCAGCAGAGGACACATTTTGAATTATTGGTGACTGAAAAAACTGGTGTTGTATGGCGCCGCTGCCGACTGTCTCTCTTGTAAGGACCCAGATACGCTGCTACGCTGTGAATGTGCACTAAATAAATAAAATGGAATTGAACTAAATAATTGTGTCCAGTCAGTGTCTGTCTATGGATGGATCCATGTTTCACAAACTGTTGAGGTTCTAACATCAGCAGAACCTGATGTGGTGAAGTTGGACCAGGTTCTGGTTTTTTACATGTTTAGACTAAATGTTGATGTGGGTCATTGGTAGGAACCAGAACCTGGAGTTCACAGGTTCTAGATGGTGGTTTAGAGCTACAGGCTGCTTCATGTTTGGTGAACAGGATTTGAAGGTGATTGTAATAAATGTCCTCGTGTCCAAAATATGGATCCATCCATGTTCACACACTTTCAGGAGCTTTCTGGGGGTCAACACCAGCCAGAATATTTTTACAGAACTTTGTGTTTGGTGTGAACAACAGATGAGTGAAGTGTGAGGAGAAGGAGGAACTCTGCTGAAGTGACTCCTCCTCCTTCATCTCACATGTTTGGCTTCGTGCTGCTGGTCGGACTCGTGTCGCTGTGTTGCATCACCTTCCTGCACTTTGTTTTTGTTGCATTAAAAGCCGCACTTCTCGTGTTACTGTACTAGAACGTAAAGTATATTTATCACACTAGCAAAGTACAACACAGCTCAATCAGTACTGCAGTTCTGAGGGTACTTGTTTATCATCATTGATTATCGATTAGTTTGTTGATGCATTTAACGAAGTCAGTAAATCAGCTCCAGGTGTGAAGTTCGGTCCGGTGTCTCACATTTGTGAAGTCCGACCGCAGTACTCTGTGGGTTTAGTACTTTTACTTTCTGCTCATCACAGCAAAAACACATTTAATGAAGGATGTAGTAATAATACTAAGTTCACCACAGATTGAATATTAAAGTCACACATCATCTCAGGACACCATTCAAAGTGTAACCACATTAAAAAATTATTTTAAAAAGTGTATTACAGTTACTTTTCTTTCCCGTCAAATTTTAAACTTGTCTTTGGGTTCATAAATTCTGTGGTTTTTTGTGTCACAGGAGTTTTAGCCTTCATACCTGGAAGATGGCAGCAGGTGACGAACACGGCTTCACAGCGTTTAAAGGTGGAAATACAAAAACTCCCCAAACCGAGCCAAAATATTTCACAGAACTTAGTTTGGGCCCCAAATAACAAAATAGTAAATTCTGAACAGAACGTGAGGTGGACCGACCCAGCCGTCGGTGGCCGAGTTACGCTCCACCGCTCGATGGCTTTACGGCGATTCGTTTGTAGAAGCAGCGATGAAAGTGCAGCAGGTTTCTGTGGAGTCATCGGGTGACCAACGAATTAGCAAATTAGCACATGTGCTAAAACACTCCATCAGTGCATCCGGTTTGTCCAATGTAACTGTGATGTCCACATCAAGTAAACAATAAAATAAAATAAAAAATAAATCAATTGACAGCAGCAGACCGTACACACCACAGGCCCACACTGGGACCTTTACTGGTTGTGTGTAAATGAAAACTTCAGAAACTTTATTTTAAAATGTTGTTTAGAAATCAGAGTTAAATTCTGCAGCTCGTCTGTGTCAGTTATAAATAAAGAACAGACAGACAGACAGACAGACAGACAGCAGTGTGGACTCACCATCAGGCGTCTCTTCGTCTGTGCAGCGACTCTCAGTTTGCTGCTTTTATTACCTTCTTTCCGTTAAACCACAAAGTGACGCGTCAAAGCAGAAGTTACACAAACGATCAGACGCAGCTGCAGAGACATGACACCACAAAGCTCCTGAGTCTGAGACAAGACTGAGAAAGAAACTTTTATTACATTTGCTGAGAGATTAAAAAACTTTTTTTTATGTTTACTGTGAGATTAAAGGACCTTTGTTGAGTTTATTATGGGATGAAATGATTTATGAAATGTGCTGTAGGATTAAAGGAGTTCTGTTCCAGGGTTAGCAGGGAAGGACCAATGCACAGACACCATAAGAGGGTTGGTGAAAGTAAAAAATAAACTTTCATCTAAGAAACACTTCGCATGGTTACGGAGACGGGAGCTAGCAGACAAAACACAAGCGTGGTGAACACACAGGGCCAGAGAGGCTGGAACATGTCGGAGAACTGGAGCCTCGACCAGGCAGAGATGCTGAAAGACGAAACAGGACAGACTGGTGGAGGACGAGATGTAGCCAGGAGAGTAACTAGGATCTGGATATGAAAACGGGGGAGAAGAGGAACAAGAACAGAAGTGAAAACGCAAGCGACACACGAGGAAAGGCAATTTCAGAAAAAACCCAGAGGGGACTGAAAAGGGACATGAAAGCTCCACACAGACGAGTGAAATAAACACACAGGAACAAAAGACGAACCCAGAACCAAAACCCAGGAACCACAACAGAACCTGCCTCCAAACATGACATCACAAACACTAAAGTCCATGCTGAGGTGGGCTGGAGCGTCGTGGAGGAGCTGAAGAAGGAGTCTGGAGACCCAGCTGAGAGAGAACCCTCTGGACCGCGGCAGCTGACTCTGAGTGGACCCTGGTCTTGATGCGATGGAGGCAGGAACAGATGAGACGCGTCGACCCTCTCGGATGGAGAATCTTCCAGGAAGCAGGAGCGTTTGACCTCCACGGCACTGGGAGGTGCGAGGTCTTCCTTCAGCAGGACTCTCTCAGGTCTGTCTCCAAGAGCCTCTGGGGAACCTTGAGCGGCAGGTCCAGTCGAGGTGGTAGCAGCTGGGTTAGTGGACTGGAGGCGTTCCAGCCCCGGAGCTGAGTCCAGCAGACGGGATGGATCCAGACAGGTCCGTGGGGTTTTAAGGTTTTTAGCCACACACCTGGTGACACGGGAGCCAGTAAACAGTTACCTGTAGGTCTCTAAGGGCCCTGAAGATCCTTCTGGTCTGGAATGCAAACATCTAAACTATTCAACAGCTGTGGTGTCTGCTGGTTAGGNTGTACAGATGTTTTAACTGTTGTTTTTGGTTTCCAGGTTGAAGAAAGATGTGAAATATCATTATTTAGGACCAAGAACCAAAGATGGAATCATGGACTTTACTAATCGAGTGGCGGGGTGAGTCCAGACCTCTGACAAAAACAAAGCAAAAACACGGCCAGAACATCACAGTGATGTCATGGTGATGTCACAATGACATCAGCGTTTGTTTGTTCAGGCCGCTGGTTCGATCTCTGAGCAGTCTGCAGCTCTTCCAGCACGCCATGAGTCGCCATGACGTCATGTTTGTTTACGTGGGCGCCACGTCACAACTGAAGGTAAACACACACACACACATATACACACGCATGCACGTACGCACACACTAACCTGTGGCGTGTTTTCAGGCAAACTACACATCAGCTGCAGAGACTCTGATCGTTGGAACTTACTTCTTCTCTGCCACCAGAGACGTTCTACCCAAGGTCTGACACTGCAGAGCCCAACAGAACCGACTGTAGTTTGTGTTTTTCAGGCTGTAGTTTGTGTTTTTCAGGCTGTAGTTTGTGTTTTTCAGGCTGTAGTTTGTGTTTTTCAGGCGGTGTCTTTGGCGTCTCTGCCGGCTGTGGTGGTTTTTAAAGATGGGACCTACTTCACGTACAGCGGTGAGACATTAAACTGGCATTTTCGAAGTGCATGAATCAGACTGTGTGTTAATGAGGGGCTGGTTTCCGTGGAAACACACTGTGCACATGGCATGCTGGCAGCAGGGGGCGCCGCTGCTCACAGCAGGTAACTCTCCTGAGACGAGGACATGTGCGGCTCAGTTTGTCTTTGAAACTGAGCATGTGCTGATGTAACAGAGGTGTTACCTGTATGTCATCACCTCAGACTCGTCACTGACTGGTTCAGGTGCACTAACGTGGGTTCTGTTGTTTCAGAGGAACATGATGGTGACCTGAAGTTGTGGATCAACAGAGAACGATTCCCAAACTTCTGTCAGATCGACAGCTACACCCTGTATGCGATGGGAGAGTCAGGTAACAGCAGCACACCTGAGCACGATGTGATGTCACCGCACACAGGTAAACTGCTCTGACTGGGCCACACCTGTGAAAATACTTTATCCTCAATATCTGAGCTTCCATTTCACAAACAGAGACAATTTACAGATTAGTGTCCAACTGACCGAACCAAACAGTCTGAACCAGAACCAGAAGCAGGAGCTGAAACATTAACAGACACATTCTAACCCAGTCAAGCTCCAGGTGAGACAAAAGGAAATGAGAGACTTTGTTCAGTCTGAGGAAGGGGAACCGAGTCGAACTGGACCTAAATGAAAATCCACTCGTGTCCCTTTGACTCTAAGGCTGCTGACTGGTTCAGGTGATGTGACTCCGCCTCTTTCCTGCAGGTAAACTGGTGCTGTTGGCGTTGGTGGAAGAGAAGCGCCTGTGTGATCAAAGTCTGAGGTAACACGCATCCGTCCCTCATCCATTCATCATCTGCCATCATTCATTCATTCATCATGTCATTTATCCATTCATTTATCAGGTCATTCATTCATTCATTCAGTCATTTATTTGTCATGTTGGTTGACACCTCAGGTATAAGAGTCTGATGTCATTTGTCACCTGTTCAGGTATAAGAGTCTGGTGGAGAAAGTGGCTGCAGAGCACAGAGACACCTACAGCAGGTGAGACTTTTACTCTGTTCACCTGTCCATCTGTNGGAACATCTTTCTACATCTGATGATGGAACATCTTTCTACAGCTGATGAACAGAGAAGAAAAGTCTGGAACATGGAGATAGTTCAACATCTGCAGGACAAGGAGATGACATGAGCTCCAGGGTTTAACATCTGGAACATGGTGGTTCCAGGTTTTGTTCTGTTTTTTGGTATAAAAAAATCAAAGAAATGCTTCTTAATTGGGATTCGTTTCATTCTTACTGTGTTGTGCGGCACAGAAAGCTTTTCTGAGTTCTCTCTCCTCATGGTCATGTTATGTTATTAAGCTGAATTTACTCTTAAAAACCAAAAGGAAAATAACAGTTTTTCAGGTTTGCATCAAGCCTGCACTGACCTGAAAAACAATAAACCGGTGTAGACTCAGAATCTGTGATATCGGACCACTAGCTCTGTGGTCTGTGATTATAGGTGAGTTGAAATATGAAAAAACAACAGATTCTGGATCAGTGACATGATGAGAAATAACAGTTCACATTTCAGGATTTGTCTTTAACAGTTGCTGAGATGTTGTGATTATTAAGTTTCAACAAATCAGAGACAGTGGAGCAGAAGAAACCTGATGATTACTTTCCTTCAGTCCAGAGTTAAACATGTTGGATCTTTACTGATGAGTGTCTTCTAACCAAACCACCATCCACGAAACTCATTTAAATTAATCATTCTTCAGTTTTGTCTGTTTTCATCTGGAAGCAGCTTGAGATCAAACATGAAATGCTGTGGATGTTTGAACAGAAAGGTGAGATCAGAGAGCAGCTCACAGCTTATCCGACGGTCAGGGTCTCAGCTCTAAACCCGACCTGACCTACATCCAGCAGGGTCTGCAGCAACTTCAGCCCGGCTCAGAGCTTCGGTCTGACTCCTTCGTCTGAGGAGGCCACACCAGGTCCTCAGCACAAAACAGCAGCTGGACTGCTGCGGGCCATCTTTGTTTCATCAGCGTGAAGAGGAGATGCTGGTTATGGAGCCACCTGCTGTAGATCTGCCCTTCAGAAAGGAGGAGGTCCAGACGTTCAGACAGAAGGAGGTCCAGATGTTCGGACAGCAGGAGGTCCAGATGTTCAGACAAGAGGAGGTCCAGATATTCGGACAGCAGGAGGTCCAGATGTTCAGACAAGAGGAGGGCCAGACCTTGATGGAGGAGATGGAGGAGATCCAGGAGCTCAGTGTCTTCCAGAGTCCAAGGACTTTGTCGGGTCAGTTTCTTTTCCGTGTCTACTCTCCTGTTTCTTCTTCATTTGTACACATTTTGTTGGTCAACTTGTTTGAACATTGTTGGTTCTGCTGTAGCAGCTGTTTCATTGTCTCTTGTGGTAAGAATCAGGTTCAAACATCCACTGTGACACCAACCAGCCATTTATCAGCAGAAACAGGAAATGTAGAGTCAGAGGGTAGATGTAGAGTTAGAGGGTAGATGTAGGGTTGGAGGGTAGATGTAGGGTTGGAGGGTAGATGTAGGGTTAGAGGGTAGATGTAGGGTTGGAGGGTAGATGTAGGGTTAGAGGGTAGATGTAGGGTTGGAGGGTAGATGTAGGGTTGGAGGGTAGATGTAGGGTTAGAGGGTAGATGTAGGGTTGGAGGGTAGATGTAGGNTGTGTGTGTGTGTGTGTGTGTGTGTGTGTGTGTGTGTGTGTGGTTGCAGCTTGTCATGCAACGCTGCTCAGAGGGAACAGGCTGGCACGCAATGTGGCTGAGCTCTGTTTCGATGACGTCACACACGCTTCCTGCCAAAAAAGGGCAGACCTGACGTGACCTGGTGGTTACCATGGTGACCGCTGCACCTAAAAGGGGCTTTTATTTTATTCATTAGTGGCTTTAAGGGGCTCTGCTGGGTTTGCTGTGGGGTTACAGGACGTTACAACCTGATTGGAGTTGAGTTTATTACTGAGTTAAGACGCTTTCAAGAACAAGAAGCTTTTATTTGTCACGAACAGCCGACAGCAGTCCTCAAATGTGTTTTTCAACTGTTTACACGCTCCTTCAGGGGGCGCTACAGCGACCGTCCGACCGAAGCAGCAGCAGCAGCAGCAGAAGAAGAAGAAGAAGAAGCGCCAGAGATGGTGGATGTAAACAAACAGCTGCAGGTGAGTTTCAGTGAAGAACTTTGTTGTTTCGCCTGTAAACGGATGTATTGAAGCGGTTCATTGAAACACGACGCTGCAGCTGCTCATGCTGGTTAGCTGCTGGCTAACTTGCTAACACCGTTAGCTTCCCGGCAGCTTCACAAACCGTGAGCTGCTTGTTAGCATGTTAGCTCGATGTTAGCTCGGTGCTAGCATGCTCACCTGAGTTAGTTTCTGTAGTTTTTGTTGATTTGAAACGTGTGAAAGTTCAGTAGGCGCCGCAGTGAGGAGCCCTTAGCTCTGTTAGCTCTGCATGCTAACCTGATCACGTGTTGACGATGTTTTCTGGATATTTGGTAGAAAAATATTTCCAAATTTTTTAAAAGCATCATGATATATTTTATACGTAAAAGTTCTTCAAGTATTTTAGCGTTTATTTATAAAAAGCTATTTCTTAAGAGTGTAAGTGGTTGTAACGGTTAATAAATGTGAATAAACACATATTTCTACTATATTTGTTGCTTTTGTCACAAAAAAATACAACAGAGAGGATATGCAAACAGCCAAGCTGCAATAAATAAATGTCAGTTAAATAAATACATATCAATAAATATCAATTGGTTAATAGTGAAAAGATACTGAATACAATGCTCAGTGGGTGAAAACGCTTTACTTTTGTATGTAGAAGAAACGTTCAGGTCTGGGATGTTTTACACATGTTTAAATGAAATAGTTTATTGTAAGGGCTCATATCTAACACATCTTTTTAAATTAAAATATTTGAAAATCATTTGTGTGCTGTACAGGTATCGGACTGTGAACTCCATGTTTTCACAATGTTCTTGATTATGAAACCTTTCTCAGTGATGTAAACACAGAACAATAAACCAGCAGCAGCTTGCTTCTGATCTCCTCAGCAGTGAGATGATGATCAAACTTTACCGACTCGCCTGCAGCTGATCATTTACCTGAAGCCTCACCTGTCTGAGCTGCTGTTAGATCCTGGTCGTCTGGATCCATGTCAGGGTCCGTTACAGTTATCAGGAAGTAATGACCACAAAACGACCAGGAATGAGCTCAGAGACGAGACGAGACACAGAATGAGAACAAAAGAAACACATCTTCAAAGATATACAAAGATAAAAATCATGTTTGTTTCTGTCATATTACCGATACGTTTGTTTTTTTCAGCCAATCAATCAGACTTTAGTTGTTGAGGGACTCGTCCCCATGGCAACACAGAGCATGTAGTGAGGCGGTCATATTTTAGCCCAAACCAGGATATTTCCTAAACCACTCCGTAAACAAAGCATCACACGAACACAGACGTACATTCCTGTGGGGACTCTTTCACAGATGGAGTCTCAGGTCACTGCAGGTCGGAATATTTACTCTAACCTGAACGTTCGTATTTCGTGCACAGATTGAAACACCTGCAGGGGTCAAAGGTCAGCATCTACCTGGAGAAGAGACTGTCCAATCAGCAGCCAGTGATGTCGTGGGTGAAGCAGCGGTACCATGACATCAGCCCTGTGACCCTGCAGGTGGTGGGCGGAGCTGTGAGCTCCAGTCTGTACTGTGGGGAGGTGGAGGGGCTGCTGGGGGCCGCGGGGGGGCTGGTTGAGTCCTTCCTGGTGGAGCTTTATCGCTGCAAACTCTGTCAGTTCACCTGTGGCCTGAAGGCCTCCATCAGCAGCCACCTGCTGCTCAGGCACCGCCCCCCTGCCCTCACCTACCTGGGGGGCAGTGGTGAAGGGGGCGGGGCTGGGGGCAGAGAGGAGGTGGGGCTGCAGCGGGGGGCGTCGCCTTATCAGCTGGACCTGAACGAAGAGTCAAAGCAGAGCGACGAGGACGAGGACTTCCTGCTCTACAACATGCTGGACAACATGAGCCCGCCCACCTGTGACATCAGCACCGAGGGGGGGCTGCAGGTTGCACACACCTGTGAGGTGACACACCTGACACACACACACACACACACACATCATCATCCTCCGGATTAAACGTGTGACTGAAGACGCAGGAATCTATAAAACTGCTGATTCACAGTCTGAACTCAAACCTGCTGAGTCATGTGTCTGTACTGCAGCCTTTGATATCTGATAATTAGTCATTCCCTTCAACTAAATCGAAAACACATCCTCAGAAGATCTGGTTCTTTATCTGCAGTGGGGCAGGGTGATATGGTCAAAAATAGTTATCACCATCTGAATGAGGACATGATAATGATATAATTGACGCGAGCAGCTGTGGGGCGGGGGGGAAGGGTAGCGGCGGGTGGTGGGCAAACATTCGGATCTCAAAATTGCTACGCAGACACCACCACAGCGACTGAATATTCCAGTGTCTGGGTCCAGCCCTGCTGTGTCGGCCGCCATGCTTCCTGCTCCATGTGCGTTAGACCGGACCAAAACAACGGCACTGCGCGTTTCACTCAACTTTTATCACGATATTTAAATTTTACAACAACCCTGACATTACACCGGTGTTACCGTGCACGCGATGATGTGGCCCAGCCCTAACCTGCAGCACCTTTCACAAATTTCACAATTTTAAGCTTGAATTTGTTAAACATGATTTGTTTGACGTCACAGATGGGTAGTTTATGGAGCAGCTGAGTGCTGAATATCTGATGATTCTGGCTGTTTTTACGGTTTCTGGCTGATTAAAGGTTTTGTTGTTTGGAGCAGAACACTGTGTGAATATCATACTCGTAAAACCCTTCCGTCTGTGTCTTTAAATTCCTGCTGTTCGCTCTGGATCCTGGTTGTGCTGTGTTTTCTGAGGCCTGTCCGTCCTTCTGTCTGTCTGCAGGTCAGCACTCTGTTTGAGGAGGAGTCGTCCATCTTCCCTCTGAAGAGGGGCTCAGTGGATCTGTCCTGTCCCATCGACCCCCCCGCCACCCAGGAGCAGATGGCGCAGTCTGCTCACCTCATGACTTTAGGACTCTGTCGAATATCAGCAGCCAAACCTCTCCCCCCTCCTCCCTCCACGTCCTCACCCGTTCCTCCCCCTGCGGACCCTCCCCCGCTGACAGACGGCGGCCGGACGCCGACTCCGCCTTCTGGCCGCCGCCGGCTGCCATGTCTGCTGTGTCCGCTGACGCTGCCGTCCCGCCGGCTGCTGGACGTCCACGTCAGGTCTCATCGCGCCGGCGGCGGCTTCAGCTGTGTCTGCTGCCGGCGGATGGCCGACAGCTGGGAGGAGCTTCGGCCTCACTGGAGCCTCTGCAGGAGGAGGAGGGAGGATCAGGGAGACAGGAAGAGGAAGAAGAAGAAAAGGGCGGCGGTCTGTCGGAGGACGTTCAGGAACACCTCATCACAAAACGCTCAGACACACAAACCCAGCAGATACTCAGGTCAGCAGCAACCACACCTCATCGTCATCAGTACTCCATAGTTCCACTAACAGTGGCGATGATTGGCTTGCAGATGAATGGAGGGGACAGCTGATTGGACGAGCTAAAGGGAAGGAGGCGGAGCAGCTCGACAGGTAGAAAAATACAAATGAACCTTAGCCAAGTAAAAAATATTATCAGAAGGAATCTTTGAATATGATCCAAGTATCTTCGAATGTTCTCACAAAGTATATCACAGAAATACTCACAACATACGGCACGCAGTGTTTACACACAGGTATGATGAATGAAGAGCGAAAAACTCTAAATACGCTGAAAAGGTTTTTAAAACGCAGCAGAATATCCAAAAATCCCCAAATATTATTAAAGAAATCTACAGAAAACAAGTGCAATACTTTCCTAATTACTAATTATTAATACTTTACTCATTTGTCCAGTAGACCTCAGAAAGGTTCGCTGCAGAGCGTCACAGAGACCAAGAGGAAAACCAGAAGAAAGAGGAGCGAAGGAAAGGAGACGTCCGATCAGACGGGCTTCACCTGCTCGCTCTGTCACAGGTAACTACATCACCCACCATCCCTCACTGCGCCAGCAGGTGGAGTGCTTCAGGGCACCTTTATAAACTGACCAATCACTGGAGAGGACAGGTCCGACCTGGCAGAGGAAACAGAGCACCTGAAAGTCATATTGGCAGGTGTGTTGCCTGGTGCCGGGCTGTGATTGGTTGATTCAGCTGCAATGTTTCTTCTCTGCAGAAAGTTCTCCTCTAAGCTCACGCTGAGACGTCACCTGGGCATCCACGGAGGAGAGAAACCCTTCACCTGTCCTCACTGCACCTACAGCAGCCGACTGAAGGCCTCACTGCTGCAACACCTGAGGACTCATACAGGTAGCACACACACACACACACACACACACACACACCTGANTCAGGTCTGCTCAGGTACGTTCAGGTCTGCTCAAGTACGCTCAGGTACGCTCAGGTCTGCTCAGGTACGTTCAGGTCTGCTCAGGTCTGCTCAGGTCTGCTCAGGTACGTTCAGGTACGCTCAGGTCTGCTCAGGTACGTTCAGGTCTGCTCAAGTCTGCTCAGGTCTGCTCAAGTACGCTCAGGTACGCTCAGGTCTGCTCAGGTACGCTCAGGTCTGCTCAGGTACGTTCAGCAGTGACCTGAAGGCAGGAAAATTCACCAGAATCCTCCTCTGAAAGGACGGATCAGTTTATTGGTTATTCAACAGAAAAAACAGCAACAATACTAAAATCAGTGAGTCTTTTCATGACCTGTTTAATGTTTGGTGTTGTTGCTGTCTTTGTTTACCAGGCAGTAAACATTTGTTTGTTTCTTAGTTTTGTGTCAGTATCTGTTGATTTCTGTGTTTTGTTGTTACCATCTTGTTTACACGACAGTAAATGTTTGCTTGAGGTTTAGTTTGTTGTTGTCTACTGAGCAGTAAATATTTGTTTGTATACTGTGGAGTTTATCAGTTGTTTACTGCATCATTTGTTTACATTGTTGTCTACTAGGCAGTAAACATTTGTTTGTGTCTTTGCTGTGTAATTTACTGTGCAGGTGTTGTAGTGTGTTGTTTACTGGGCATGTTTGTTTTGTTGTTGTGATTTGTTTACCATTTTTGTTGACTGCTTTGCTTAACCAGCAGTAAGCATTTGTTTGTTTGTTTGCTGTGTTGTGTCTCAGAGCGAGCGTCGGTGCTGCCGTCTGTCTGCAGCTCTGCCGTCCCTCCGTCTCTCCTCACCTTCTCCGTGGTTTCACAGGGAGGATGGGCCGCCTGATGAAGAGGCGGGGCTTGGCGAAGAGGCGGGGCTTCGACGTGGCCCCGCCCCCCTGATGCATCACCTGCTTCTCACCTGGACGCAGGAGACGGACATCCTGGACTGACAATGTCGAGGACTGTCGTCACGGTGACACTCTCACCTCCCCCATAGATCGATCGATTGATCAGAGGATGGAAGCTCTTTGGGCTGATGGACTTCTGGTGCATTGTGGGGAATAAAGTGGTCCCTGTGTGACCAAGTCAGTCTCTGCTGCTCCACATTTGTCCACATGTCCCACAGCTGTCTAGTATCTGTCACACATCTGTCCCCCACCAAACGTCTATCCAATAGTCTTTAATTATCTGTATATTTGTTGGTGAATCTTTACTTCTGTTCTGTGGTTCTAATCTTAGAGAAAACTGATGGAAACGTGGAATATAAAAGTACATATTAAACAGTGATAAGAATTTAATGTGTGTTCACTGGTTTCACATTTGAACTTGTTGCTCCAGTTTCAGTGACAGCTGTGAACATCTGGATTGTGTGCACCTCCTCGTGGTCTGAAGTCTCCGTACAATCAGAGCAGACAGACTGAAGAACACGAGCCTGAGAAATAAAACTGTTTTTCTCAGTGTTCGGCCTGATGATGTTATTTCAGCTTTTTTAGGACTCAGAGAGGAAACTGTGACCTTTTCAATCACATCTGACCTCATTTTCTCTAAAGTCTGAGCTAAAAGCTCATTAACCTGCAACAACCAGGTCACATCTGGTGCACATGTTGATTAACTCTGTGAATGCAGAGAGTTAATGGATCATCACTCAATAGTCCTCCGTCATCCATCGATCAGGCCGACATAAAGAGCTGCAGCCGGCTGGAGCGGCCGCAGAGCGACAACCGACAACCAGCCGACAGCGATGAGTCACATCCACGCCAGTAGGACGCCGTCTCTCTGCTCTCTGGGAGGAAACTGCAGCGCTCACCATCACCACATCAGGACATCTAAGCTGCTCCACCTGCTTGGCCACGCCCCCACACACAGCACCTACCTGCAGCCTCACCTGTTCCCAACTGTGGACGTCCCTGACCACGCCCACTACATCATCGGCTCTGTCATCCTGTTGGTGGGGGTGACGGGCATGCTGGGAAATGCTCTGGTCATCTACGTGTTCTGTTGCAGTCGGACACTGCGGTCGCCTAGCAACCTGCTGGTGGTTAACTTGGCGGCTGCCGACTTCCTGATGTCTCTGACACAGTCTCCGGTTTTCTTTGTGGCGAGCCTGCACCGCCGCTGGGTGTTTGGCGAGCTGGCTTGCGAGCTGTACGCCTTCTGTGGCGCTCTGTTTGGCATCACCTCCATGATGACGCTGACGGCCATCGCGGTGGACCGCTGCCTCGCCATCACACGCCCCCTGGCACTGCTGGGCGGGGTGAGTCGGCAGCGAGTGCTGGCGGTAGTGGCGGGGGTGTGGCTGTACTCGCTGGGCTGGAGTCTGCCGCCGTTCTTCGGATGGAGCGCCTACGTACCCGAAGGCCTGCAGACGTCCTGCAGCTGGGACTACATGAGCTTCACGGCCGCCGTGCGCACCTACACCATCCTGCTATTCGTCTTTGTCTTCTTCGTGCCGCTCGCTCTCATCGCCGGCTGCTACTTCACCATCTTCCGGGCGGTGCGGCAAGCGGGCCGAGAGGTGGCGCAGCTGAGCAGCGGAGAGACCAGCAAGGCGTACGAGCGCCTGCGCAGCGAGTGGCGGTTGGCGAAAGTTGCTCTGGGAGTGATTCTGCTGTTCATCGTGTCCTGGTCGCCATATTCTGCCGTCGCTCTGACCGCCACCGCCGGCTACGCCCACCTGCTGACTCCGTACATGAATTCAGTACCTGCCGTGATCGCCAAGGCCTCCGCCATCCACAACCCCATCATCTACGCCATCACACACCCAAAGTACCGCGCCGCCATCGGCCGCTACGTGCCACTGCTGCGCGTCGTGCTGCGGCTGCAAGAGAAGGACCTGCGCTCCTCCCTCAGCTCCAGCGTTGCTTCATCTCGCCGTACGACGCTCACCAGCTCGCCAGGAGTCCGTCTTGGCGCCGCCCGGACCGACGGCCGATGGGGGAGGAGCCGGCTGTCCTCGGTGTCCGACAGCGACTCCTGCTGGACGGAGAGCGAAGCTGACGGGTCCAGTGCAGGATCGGCCGCCTTCAACCGGCAGGCGTCCGCCGAGGTCACAGCTGACCCGACAAGCTCCGCCCCTTCCTCCCAGCCGAGGGGAATGACCAGCGGCGACCTGCCTGATGGGGGCGCCGTGACAGAGGTGAAAGCTGTGCTGCTCCCTTTCTGACACCTGCTGCTCACATGGCTCCGCCCCCGACCACGGTGAAAGGCAGAAAGAAGGTTTTGAGCAAAACCAGTTTCTGATCCATTCAAGAGTTCGATTGGACGGAGAGAACACATGACGTCAGGGGGCGGAGCCTGACTGATGATGACATTACTGCTCTGCTTACTGTCGTCTTGGCAACGCTGCTGATCCTGAACACTAAGCTTTAGATCAGATCCACTTTAGTGTTATTGATTGATTATTGGCACCAAGCAGCTGATATATGAAGCAAAGATGAGGATTGATTGATTGATTTTTGTTTGTACGGTTCAACCTAAACTTCATTTTCCCCTTCTGTTTAAGGTAAACTTTTTTCAATTTGGATTAAATACAGATGGATCTATTGACAGCTGTTTCTGATTCGTTGACAAGCTTTCAGCTCGCGTGGATGTCAATAATAGAACCTCTGATGTTTTTTACTTGTGAACGAGTTCTGAGAATCTCGGGTGTGTTTGCTCCAGATCAGTGAGTCCGACTGATCAATACCTGTTCAGACGTATTGATCGGCGTTCCCCGTGCTGTTGCTGATGCTGAACAAACAGCTCCTTCTTTCCCGCCATCACTCCTGTGTTTTGCTGCCCCCTGCTGATCACGTTCAGCTTTAATCTCAGCCATACGTTCTGTTGTTCATGGAAAGCAGCTGTGAATAAAGTTTCAGTGGATTGAAAGAGTTAATCCGCCAGATTAGCCGTGTGTTCTTTGTGAACTCCGATTAGCTCCGTAGTTAATCCGGCTGCAGTCAACATGTCGGACAGAAGAACCACGGCGCTGCTCACAGGTACGTCCACCCAGCTCACTTTACAGACGATGCTGGGATTGAAGTCGAGAAGCTGCAGAGTTTCAGGTGTGGACGGTTTAACTTCAGAGCACAGAGGAGACAATCGCTTCGTCTGTTCATCTGCTCTGCTGCTTTCAGCTCATCTGAAGTTCTCAGCAGGTCCTTCAGATTCTAACAGAGTCTATGTTGTCCTGCTGACTTCAGATCTGCTGCGTTAGGCTTCAGTCTGCCGCCTCCTGTTGCTTATTAAACCTCATCAAACTGACGTGCTTGTCTGAGATCCATCAGCCAGTCACAGCTCTGATCCTTTTGGTTCAGTGGACTGTTGAGACCTCCGGTGCTCCTCTCAACTGTATCTGTCCCGTGGTCAGAGAGCTGCTGCTCCCGGAGCTTTCAGCGGCAGCTCATGGTCCTCCTCTGCAGCTCCACACGTGCTCAGCTGCTGATGAAGACCATGTGACGCTGCCTGAAGCTCCACAGCAGCAGAGCAAGCAGACGATGAGCTTCACCGGCCCTTTGTTTGTTTGTTTGTTTGTTTGTTTGTTTGTTTGTTTGTTTATTTGTGGTCAGTGCTGCTGTTTTTGTCTGCGTCGGCCTTCGTGGAGGAGCTCGATGACTCGTGAGTAAAAACCGATTTAATATTCAGATTTAATTTCAGATTTGTCGCTTCAACAGAATACTTAATCAATAACAACAATCAGTCTGATTGATCTGATTGTGTTTCAGCTTCATGGAGAGAAAAGGACCTGAA